TGACAGACAGTGCTGCAACTACACCATTTTTGGCGTTTGTGTTAAGAGCCTGCACGTGGCGCCCCCAGTGAATATTATATTACCTTTTCGTGTTTTTCTGCTTTATAGTAATGTTGAATTTTGCTGTACACGATGTATGTTTTGCATGAGGCTTAATTGTTTTCAAACTTGGTCGAGTATTGGGATTGCTATAATATTGCTTTTAAAATTAAACACAATGTATGTATTTCTTTACCTCTAATAAATTAACAAGATAGATGTAATCTGTAAATACTTACTAACTTTAACCACTAGATTTTGTGTATTTTCAGATAAAGACCCAATCACATTATAAGTTGTTAAACTTAGTAGTTCAAACTTGCGATTTTATTATTTATGGAGGTACGTAATAAACAAGAAAAACCATTAACCACATCGTTTATTTTTAATATTAACAAGGGATATTGTTGTAATATCTACATATATATAAAATTATTTTAATTATCTCTATACAAACAAATATAAATATATACCTCAAACGGCTCAAACATCTGTAAATGTGTGCACTTACTTTATATATCAGCTCTCTAGACATCAAAGAACAGTTTTCATGAAACGTATGCATTTGACACTAAATTTTTGTGCATAATTTATTCAAATCTGGAGGGTAATGTGTAATAAAGGCTAATATTATTCAGTTTAGCTTCTAATTTATTTTTAAAAAACTGCATATTCGAAAATTAAAATAAAATATGTATAATAAATTATACTGTACTATGAAACAATAGTTGAATTTGAATTTGAATTTTTATTAAATAGTAATTTTATTATACTCGTAAATTCCTAATTAAAATACCAAATTGTGTATAAAAAAAAAATATATATGCATTTGTATGGTCATATTTTTATATTTGATTTGATTTTTGTTAAATTTAAATATTATGTGTTAAGAATTTACTTCTTAATAATATAAAATGCAATTAWGCATGGTAAAAAAATTGCAATTGGTGGACCGATTGCGACGAAATTTGGTACAAAGACATATTAGATCTATGGGAAGGAGATAGGCTAAGTTAAAAAGTGAACTATTTTCGATAAAATGAATAAAATTACAAAATGATTTACTAGATTGAATAACGTGGTAATATTATTTCTATACTGACCGCCGTCGGCCGAATCACAAGCTGGCCAGATTGAAAATATGTCAGCCTACACTGCAGTGGCACAGGTTTTGACAACGAACTAGATAGCACGGTTTGACGTACCCGACGTAATCACCTGCAACAACCGAGGCCGACAGTTCGAGTAGGATCTGTTCAAACCACTTTTGATCACCTTCGGAATTCAGCACATGTTCGAACACTATCACCCTTAGACCAACCGCATGGTAGAACGTTTTGACAGGACGCACGAGTCCGCGCTCATCACTGCGGTGGACAGCCTGCAAGCTGCCTATCGTACTACTCGTACTGCAGCGCAACACGGTCAAAGCGGCGATCTAGGGCATCTTGGCGTGGCCGTATTGGCGTGGCCACTTTGGCGTAAACTAATTTGGCGTATGGCTATTTTGGCGTTAAGTTTTGGACTAATATTACAGCACGCACAAGTCCGCGTTCACCACGTACGAATCGCCGCAGTGCACAGAACGCAAACTGCCTATATCGTACTATTCGTGCCGCAGCGCAACACGGTCAAAGCGAGCATCGAACAAGCTCCGGTCGAGTTAGTATACGCTCAAACTCTGAAGGCGAGTACTTTGACTCCGCTCGACCCGAGCCACAACCGCCCGTGCTGGTAGCTGTGCGTTACTAGATTCCGAGAGACAGCTCCGATCTTCACGATACTCGGCGCACTACGTCCGGATCGACGCGAACTGACGTTCAAGGTTACGCAACGCGACCTGTCCACGGCTTGGATTTCCCTCGATCGACTCATATCAGCATTCGTCGCGGGTCCACTCGCCGATCACTCGTACGCAGTATAGAATCCGACGACGTCAAGTAGTCTTGCTCTTCTTATTCCTTCGCGCAGTATCTCCACTTACCTATACCAATGCGATTGTACCAACCGAATTTCGCTCCGTCCTTTTTGTCGTTGTATTTGTCAACGGTCTACCGTGCCGTGTTCACGCGAACAGTCTCGAATGGTATTTTACACACTTAACAACCGTCGACTGATCTCGGGCAATCTCTCGTTCGCCTATTCGACGGTTGCGCGCGCGCCACGGCTCTTTCTCTTTCGCTACCTACCACGCGCAAACACGCCTTTTTCGTGCCGCTCGCCGTAGCCTTTTCTTTCATCGACTTTGTATTCGTATTTTTGTCAACTAAATCGTTTTAGTTCTTATTCCCGAAACGTCCGCGAAGTCGAACGATACAGTTGCTCAAGTGAATTCTTGTATTGAATAATAGCTCTTAGTAGCGTCTGCTTTCTACATTTATACAAATTAATTCATAATTATGATCGGGCGCACGTTATCAGCTCTGATAATCGGTATATTATAATAAACGATTGAGAGTAAAAATAAATTGTTATGCCGGCGCGCGAAGGAGACGTGTCCAAAATAATTTGCTTAAAAACGTGTGATTGATGGTTGTGTCCACATCGATTCCAATAAATATTTTACTTTTTARGTAATATTTGTATATGAAATACAAAAAAAATTCAAACGAATCAGTATGCGTGCCGAGAAAATGTTTTGTGCCCACGAAAAAAATGTCTAGGACCGATGAGAAAAATCTGTCCCACCGGCGCTGAATAGAGTAAAAACGGCGATGGATAAAGGTCGATCAAAAACGAGATGACTCGGTCGCCGAGAGGCGCGGGCGCTAAAGAACTCTCGGATGAGACGATTTTTGCTACAAAATAATCCTCTAAGGGACGAAAAAAAGCGACACCGTCAATACATTTAATCATATGAAGAGAGATTATATTATTATCACGATTTTCTTTGGATGAAATAAAATACTGTCTTATTGATACTTACTGGATCCATTTACGGATATAGTCTGAAATTCATATAACTGATAAAATTAGAATTTTCGTACGCAACTATTTGAAATGTGTACCTATATATTAGCAGCTTTCCAACTCTTGTCATTCCGTCCGCCAACGTGAGACTACGGGAGGGGCCTTCGCTCTGTCTCTGGTTGTTGTTGGGCACAAATTCACCGAAGCAATCTCGTACAACGTACCCAGCAGCTATGCGACTTCGATAGCATTTTTAATACATTTGTTTAATATATATCTAAGCACTACCTGAAATAAAATAAAACTATTTACCATGAATAAATAATAATTTTTAATACATTTGAACCTCTCAAAAGATAACAATTAAAAAAAATGTAATACAACAAATAATAATCAATTTATATTATAATTTATATATTTAAATAATAATCATGTTTTAGTGCACTTTTTAGGATTTTTGATGCATTTTCAATGTTTTTTAATGCTTTAAATTCTCAGTCAAACACATGACTAATATCATAACAAAATTTGCATGATCACAACTCTGCGATATACATACTACTCTTGCCTTGTCTATCTCTTAGTTTTCCGCTTCTATTATATTCTATGAACGGCCAATGAAATGCAGAGAATTATGAGCAATTGTTTTGTGTGTAGAAACAAATTTTCATTAACTAAGTTATTTGGTATGATATTGGTAGGCAATGATAAGTCCTTTCAAAACAAGATTTCTATATGTATTTCGTTTAATTGTCCAGTAAAATAGTTTTTTTTTTCGTTTTGACATAATATACTATGAATTATACCAACGTACATTTACAATATTTAAATGAGTACCATAATAAAATTGGTTAAGTTGTAACAAATTGAAGATATATAAATACAAAATTAACAATAAATTTCGACTTTGCCTATATAATAATTAATAATTTAATATTTAAATTTTTAATTATATTAAAAATAACGATTATTTAAGTGAATATGGTTAACAAGTGAATGTACAAATATAATATTATATACAATATACAAACATGTTCTTAATTTCAGTGACCATTATTATATGACATAGTGTTGACGTTCATCTCATATAAATTATTAGACTTAAAAAGATAAGTCCAATAACTATAGATCTTCTAAGATTTTAAAAGTAAATGTTAATATTCATAATATGGTATTTATGTATAATGTATATACCAACTAAATTAGTTATATATTGTTATTTTGTATATTATATTTTGCTATTATAGATATTTAAAAAAAAAATTTCTATATATTAACTTAATTTTTATCAAGTTAACATTTTCAAGAATAGTATGTATAATAATAATACATAATTAAATTACATTTTGAATCTAAATGTATACATATTATTTAATAATGCAGAGATGGCGTGAAATATTTAACAAATAAAAAGAATTTAAATGTTGTTCAATTATAATATTATAACAACACGTCAGTAAGTTAAATTAATAGTAAAAAAAAAAAAAGACAATAAAACAATACAGAACAAAATCAAAACCAACCAGAAATATACAAAATACAATTCCTATACACTCTAAAGATAATAAATTATTATCTAATATTATTGACTAGATACTTATAATATATAATAATAGCTATAATATAATACGGTTATTGGTTGTACTTGACATAATAATTTACTACGAAAATATAATTCGTTGCTGTGTAATAAAACAATGACGATGCATATCGACAACAACAACATTACAAAAATTTGATTTACCTATCTACCTATTATACACATTATTTAAAACATAACGAAACATAACCGATATGTTAAAATATCGATGTACATCATAATATTGTGTACACTGCACAATCTATAATATGGTCGCGGTCTCATTAAATCAGGAATATAATATTTCAATATCATATCAATATCGTAATTTTACTATGTAAAACAATGTCAAGTTGAAATACTATATTCAATAATTATAATAATATATTGATTAAAAAAATATATACCTATATTTATATAATTATACGATTATTACATTTCTTTTGTAACACAGTTTTTGTCCACGAGCAAGGTACACAGTATCACTAACACCTGGAAGCACTCCGGATTAAACATTTTACTCGGAATTAACAACGTCAAAAACAAAACAACTATAATATATTTAAAAATATTGCACGTGGGCGCGTATACAACACAATTTCAAAAACATTGTAAGTCAGTAATATTATGCATAAACCCATAATATAATACATATTATTATATTGCATATTATTGTATATATTTATAATTAAAATAATTATATTTTCAATGTTTTTTTTTTTATATATATATTAGCCATTATACACATTGCGCTGCGATTTGGAGAGCGTTTTAATATTATATAATGTGATTGATATAATGTAGACAAACTAAAAGTACAAATAAGAAATATTTGATTCATATCGATCAAAGTTCGTCTGGCCGTCCTACTTCCGATCGACGCTACAATGCGACTTGTGGTCTTATTTAAACGAAAACGCGCAATTTCCTCGGCGTTCAAAAAACCTGCGACTTTAAGGCTTGAAAAATACAAACCGTAAAGTCTTACCCTCGAGTACAAAATCGCTCCGATGAACATGACTGAACAAAAAACTCCTTCACGCACGACTCACCAAAGCGAATATTACACGCAAACACTTACCTATAAGTATAATATACTCATTAGTCATTAACTATATGCGTCTATATACGTATATATCACCTTTGTACATCGATTATAAATTATAATATAGGATATAGATTATAGATAAGTATATATTATACTGTTTAATTTTAATGGTCACGGAGTATTAGGAAGGTATATAATAATAAATTAATAAAATATAACATAAGACCGTTATTATTTACCCTGATTTTTAACTATAGGTACTTAACCTTACCTACTAATTAATATATGTTCGTCATTAACGAAAATGATCGATTAAGATAATATACACACATAATATTATTAAAAAATATTATGTACTAAATTGTCAAAAGGATATATTAGCACGCTATTTGTTTTCTCTCATCTCTGAACTACACGTGACATAGCAACGTAACAATATTTATAATTTTGATTTAACCAATCGGTGTTGTGCAATATCTTATAAGAGGTAACGATTAAACATAGGTTGGAATATTACCTAATGTGTTTGCTTGTCAGATTTTTACGATATTTCAACTTTTATGCAAATTATGAGTAGGTGTCTATGTAAAATATTAAAATTTAAAAATGCCCATAATTTATCGCCGGAAAAAATTTAAACATCGTAAAAATGCCAACGTACAAACATAGACAGTCTTTCTTAACTTAAAGTTTTATTGCAAAAGGTAAATTCACTCTAATTGCAGTACGATTGACTCGACACCATTGCAGGTTATGCTGAAAGCAAATTATGTTTCACGTAGGTGTCGGAGAGAGAAAGAAAACAAACAATGCACTGATAATGTATGTGCGTGTGTGCGTAGATCATAATAATCGATTGTTATTGCTAAACATTGTAATTGTGCATTATGTATTTGTATCTACGATTTTTTTTAACTCCATATTAAAATTCGCAACGAAAAAAATAAAAACAATAATTAACTCTAACGACTAGTTTGGCTATTTCTAATTGCTTATCAAAATATATTGCTTGGATATATAATATGACTTAATTATAACGTAGAAAAAAACATATTTGTATTACTGCAAAGTGTCTATTATACAATATGAAACAGGAAGTAGGATTTAGTTTTTGTTAGCCTTACCACGAATCGTTTCAAGTTTTTTGATGTTTTGTAAACCCTCCTCAACACTTTTTAGTTTTTAATCCACCTATTGGCTATCGTACGCAACTACTTCAATTATTGGTAGTTCGGTCAATACCTCGGAATGTCTCAAAAGAGAAATACCATGACTACATAATATGCTTACGGTCGTCGGTCAATTTATTCCAGATCGATTTCCCCTAATACATTTATAGTGCCCCCCTTTTTTTTTATTAAAATGTATTAAACATTTTGTTCGTCTTTCCTAATTCGATTGTTGAAGTTAGCGGATGTATAATACAGGGGTATAAATAATATAGATACGTAAAATACTGATCACTGATGTGTTCCTACCTAACCTAACATTGTATTTGTCGTAATCGCATTTAAAGTATAATGCACAAACGATAGATTTTAGAAACCCATTAGTGTGAATTACAAAAGCAAAATAAATCTTAATAAACTCGCAAAAACACCCGCACACTTATAGGGTTCGTTGAAGCGTTGGATGAATGTTTAGTAGATAGGTTCGAGGTACCTATAGATTTAGAATATCAACAATAAAACAAAGACGACAATGGTGGAGTTGATTGATAACTATACACGAAAAAACTTTGAAAGTAAAATCATTTCATATTATATTTTATTATTGTGTAATGGCTGTATACACAAGTGAGCAAATTTTAAAGGCAATAATTAATTGGAAAAAAAAATTGTAAGAATATAGTGTGCCATTAAACGAATGATGTATATATAATATGCTATAATACATTTTACTTTTGACCGTAACAATAATACCTCCAACTTTTTCTTTGACGTCCTTAAAAACTTTTTAATAACAAAGTTATTCAAACACTTTTATACCTCGCAAAATTATATACAATAATATCCTCCAAGATATAAAAGTATTTGCATGCGCTGGCTTTGCAGTGTTTAACAAAACAAATAATCATAATAAATTCTATCCAAAACAACAGACAGCTGAGAAACGGTTAATGGATTTCAACGACGATGACGAGGAATTCGCTGCTTATAGTTAGTTACTCGTAAAAGTTATAATCTTGGTAGAGTATTATATATATTATAATATCATATAATACCTACGTTGTTCTGAATACATAAATATGAAATATTTTATGAATTTCAAGGATTGTCCTGTCACGGTACAAACTGTTTTTTTTTTCAAATGAGTACGATCATCAATTTAATGTTACATTTTTAAAGAGGTGACTTATTATTCTTTAGTAGGTACCTATACATACAATCTGAAAACTCGAAAACTACTAATTTAAATATCGATAGACATTCATAAAAAGTTTCCAAAAATAAAGTGATTAACAATTCACATGATAAGAAAGGCGGATATCGTTTGACATAAAAGAAACATTTGTACTATCACAAAATGGGTATGCGCCTTCTATCTATATCTAATCGAAATCTTAAGTACCTATTTAAATAATATGATATTTATGTGCAGGTATTTATCAATAAAATTATCAATACTAAAAGATAAAAATTGGTAGGAGGTTGATCGTGTTTTGTGGATATATCACGATTGTATCTATAATGTCAATTTTACTTGACCCATGTGTAGGTCTACACAGTACATAGTACATTATATACGTTTACATATTATATTACACATACCACGTACTATTTACTAATTAATTTAAAACGCGAGGTGAGAAACTGATGAGAGTGTTATTATATATTACACCACCATTTGATAAATTAGTAAATCTTAGCGATATGTTCCACGGCTGTTAGTTTATTACAAATAGTTAATATACGCTAGCTGTTCAAAGGTTTTCTACTCAGAACTCAGAACTTCTTTGCGGTCTGGTCCGAATGAAACACGAAATAATGTGTAGCCATTCAGAGGAGGTTACATATAGGTACATATCATATGTTTTGTATTAATCGAAAATGCGCAAAAACTTGTTCCTTTATCCTTTGATGTATTCAGGTTATTAATATATATAAATATATTATTTGGGTAATTTTTTTTTCTTATCACGAAATTGTATTTGTTCGGTAAACATTTATGTTTAAAAAAAAATTAATTTGCATTAATACAAACCTTAACTGACAAATTCTGTATCGACTATTATTTTTAAATAGTTAATGTAAGTAAGTTCCAAAAAAAAAATTGAATTTGCAAGGGATGGTAAAGTACATTTTAGCCAAACTAATTAAAAAAAAATTTTTATGATGAATGGAAATATGCCAATTACCTTGATAACTCAAATAAAACATATTAACATTATCCCTCGGCAATGACTACGCGTGTACCGGCCGCTACACTCTTCATCCTCGGCCCAATTGCTCCGCTTCGCAAATCGAAAATATCCTTCGACTTGATATGCAAATCCACTTCAAGTATGTAACAGGGACAAAACAATTATTGTGGATATGTGAACATTTAAGATAAAATAACATAAATGAGAGGTGACAATCCAATACGAAAACGTAGGAAAGAAAAGTACGGCGTTTAGCGCATGCATGTGTAAATACGTAAAATCGTAAACTTTGGAAAGATATAACTTCCAAATAATGATTTGCGAAAATTTTTGAATTAGTTTTGAGTTTTGTATTCAATGCATTAAAACAGACATTTATTTGGAGAAAAAAATCAAAAAAATCGCATGTGAACTAAAACTGCATTTACCTATACCTAATATTTTGTGTTGTATTTATATGTTTTTTTTTTATTTCGTAAATATTACTAGATACCTAAATTTTAGTTTCATACGCCGAAGCAGAATACGTTATAAACAAATCGAACTTCGAACTGCGAACAAAACTTAAAATACTCGCCATAAATTGGGACGAGCGGAGAAGTGCACCAATATTTTGCAAGGTATCTAATTTCCTCTACGTTCAATCTAAAAATAAAATGTAATTAAATGTCTAAACGACCACTGGTTCGAAATTCATTTTTCATACATTGCGAAATCATTGGAAAAATATTTCGGTTTCATTGAATATGATCGCGTTATATTAGCTAATATTCTCGTACGTCCTCGGGGTCCGCATAATAATATAACATTATGTTTATGTGATATAATATTGGACTTCACGCGAAATTGCAAAACAAATCTGCCGCCGGATAGACCCTCACCCCCAAACCCTCTTATCCACCATTTGATGAGAGCGTGCGGTGTACGCAATAACAACGATATTGCACGGTTCGGATATTTTGTTTTTACAAGTCAGAAAATTACGACCGAAATTTGGCGACCGTCGAGCGGTGGCGACGGTGGCGGTGGCGATGTCTGCGGCGAAAAAAGAATTAACTAGGTCGAGTCAGATAATATATGTTTGGATCGAGCATAACGTCGATTTCACGGCCTGCTGATCAGGACTGATATTATTGGCTTTGGGTGGGGCGCGCGGGACGGGTACAGCATGAGGAGGCGTTGGCGTTCAGTTGCCCGAATCCTGCGAACCATGTGATTTGGCGATGAAAAGAGAGAAAGAAAGAGAAAAAATAATAAAGCATATACGTACAACATCAGTCGCAAGTCTCGCACGCCGCACTCAAACCAAAAGTCTTTTCCGCACGGCGCGTGACATAATGTTTTTTTCTCCCCCAAATAATATTCGATACTCTGTTGACGCGTCGGTCTATGATTACGGTATTCGTTCACCCAATAAAATATCATCAACTTTCGCAACGAAAACTCTGTACCATTCATTACACTGCACAACCATAATTCCTAAAATGTATACATTATTTATAGTAATGTAAATGAGTTGTACCCGTGGCAATAATAGACGTTTTTGGATGAGATTCCCTCCCCTCTCTCTCCCCCCAAAAAACGCGTATTTTATAAAATGAAATAAATGTCTCTCCTTAATGCCCGGTCTACACAAGGCTAGTATTTCAAGCTAGGATAGAATGATTGCGATACCTAGTACTTATACAGTGATTATCCTGGCTTATTACTAACCATTTAGTCAAAAAACAAAACTTCACCTTATTAAACCATTCTGACTTGAATCACTCTCGCTATATTATGTCTATAGTTAATTCTTCGGTATAGATTTCTAGCTTTACAATATAAATATATAAATATGTCATTATCTATTGCTACCCTAGTATGAAGTACTAGCCACGTGTAGATCGGGCATAACGCCACGGCAATGGTATGAAACAGAGGTATTCAAACTTTTTCATCTCACGTCTACTTTGGGTCATCACAAAATGTTGACGGATCCCAAATTATAAATGACAAAAAATCAATGTTTATAATGCATATGCGTATAATTTATATTAATTATTTATTCGTCATATGACATCATAATATTATATGAAGAAAAAATAACTAAATATTTAATATTGATTTTCAATTATAGGACACGGCTGGGAGCCGCGACACACAGTTTAAATACCTCTGGTGTATAAATTATGGGAGCTACATTATTTTAATGTATAATAATTATAGGCACGCGCGTATTGATTATGATGATGATGACGACGGCGGCGGTGATTGCCCGCTTCCGATCAGACGGTGGTGACGCGATCGTATTCGACGTAGTGCACTACGTCGTTGACCTGATGTCAGTAAACCACGTCGCGCGCCGACACGACCGCCTCCGTCTCCGCGGACTTGGCCGACTGCAGGCTCCGGCATCTGGCTGCCGCGGATGTCGCCGACCGGAACCGCCGGAACCACAAGACGGTGAGCCCCGACGACACGGCCACGATGATGATGGCCACGGTCAGAGCGATGCTGTATACCAGGTGCGTGTAGAGCAGGTGCATGCAGTACCCGAACGATTCGTCGTAACCGGAAGGACAGTGTTCCACGCCATCGCACCACAGCGACTCGTTGATGCACGCCTCAAGCTCCGGACACTGACTGTGACAGTACGGCCCGTCTGCTCGAATCCTGTTTTCATTTCCGGGTAAAAAAAAAAAAAAAACAAAAGGGTTGTAACGATATACGATTATGCCTTTAATCCGTGGCGCGTGGTTCTTGACGATAAGTCCAAGCAGGGAGGGGAGAAAGGTAAATTTGTTCTACATATTTATAAGTAGATACACATCTCACTCTTTTCTGTTTGATTATGTAAGTGAGAAAGTTAGAAATACGCGAGATGTAGATAAATTTATGTGTTATACACATTTTATAATAAAATACTATGATATGAATTAATTTTTAACTATAATAAGCTTTAGTTTATATATGGGGCTCTACTCCTCAGGAGTTAGTCAAGATCACCGTCGGTTCATGTTATCACAGAGATAATAATGAGGGGAGCGTACTATGTTTGATTATGAACACGCGTGAGTTAGTTTTTCTGTTTTACTAAATATGCCTTTAACATAGCAAATTATACGTATAATTTAATCTATTTTACTTTGGTATTTAGTTGTTACTTGCGATTTCTTTTACTGTTTCATCGCAGTCTTGTTTGCAGCAGTAATCGTGTCGTTACTAGTTATTTAAACATACTGTTTCGGATATTGTTGTCGTATTTTATTTTACGGTGAAAATAAAACTACATTTTTATGAGAGAAAAAAATTGCACTTTGTGTTTTTTCGTAGTTATATAGGAAATAGTAAATACGATACGAATAGTATAATAATATAAGGGTATATATATACTGCAGACTTTGTTATATCCATAATGTACGAGTCAATTGCACTGCACAAATAGTAGATATCGTTTTTTACGTTTTTGAGGTCGACTAAGTCTCTCTAAATCCCATACGGAATACGTATGATATTATTGTAGGTTCAATGTAGTATATATTTTGCACTTTTTTCGAAATCGATACGGTGCGCTGAGCGTAAAATTACTGATAAAGCAAAAATATACGAGACGTGTAAACTTCCGTTTATATACGTAATCATATTTAGGTATTCTAACTTGACCATAGTCCATAATATATATTTTATTTATAAAGTGTATCAGTAATTTCGTAATATTTTATAATTTTTCGTATAATGATAAATATTTGTCCAGTAAAAATATTATAGGAACAAGTAAAATATTTTCGATCGTTTATGCGAGATTTATTTATTGTTATTTTTACAGACTTCATCCCCTTTACATTATGATGCGGAAACACTGCGTATTATAAATCGTGTACACCTGAGAGGTATAGTGCTTGCTGGAATAATTTTTTAACGACCTAGGCAAACGAGTCCCTGGGTTCCAATTAGAGTTAGTTAGTTATTCATGGGGTATTTTGAAATGTTACACAACCAACGTGGCATATTCCACCACATCTATCGCGTGGGTTAAGTTTTATTTTATGCAGACAATTTCTTTAATTTTAATATTATTATCTATAAATATTTAAAAACGTACAGCAAAATTAACCAACGAAACAATTTTAGGATACCTAAACGTTATTTTTCCGATACAGTATTTGTGAGCCACTATCTTTTATAAAACAGCTACAGTTCTCATTATATACACGTATTGAAACGATTTTCTCATTAAATTAATTTTGTTTAATAAATATGCACACAGTATAATATGCTTGTTAAAGTAAAGTCCGTTTCACAAATACTTTGAATTGGTTTTTGTGCTATGGCCCGGGATTAATGTATATGTATATAAATATATATGATACAATATCAATATAATTCGTTGGTCGTATTTTATTGATATTAATCTATAGTTTAATACGCGGGTCTTAAGGCGTCAGGAATCCGTATTTTGCGGCAAACACGATATTATGTTAAGGCCTTATAGCTACTGTTTAACGACAACGAGGATTAAGTTAATGTATAATATATTATATTTAAGTAATGTGCGTAATTTGTTTTTGGTTTAGACTACGGTACAAGAATGAACAATGTACCTGGACGAGAGTTGTATCCAAGACACTGTGTACGATCCCGGATCGATTGGAATGAACTCGATGACGATATCTCGTGAAGAATTAGACATGACGTCTCTGGTGTGCCATCCATCTGAAAACACCTGTGTCACACACACAGTAAACATATAAATGATAAACATAAAACTTTCGGTTCTCTAGGGTAAGTTTCTGAATTTTAAGGTTAATATAGAAGTGAAATCAATCCCAAAATTCTGCGCCTCAACTTGAAAAAATATATCAGTTCACAAAAATTTCAAGATATTCAACTGTACAAACATTGAAACAAAAATTAGCACAGAATGGCATGAATTACAGATTGTTAACAAAAATTCTAGTAAGACAGTTTAACTTATAAGCAAGTCGACAACTCCGGTTTATGGCTAATTTTATCATTRATATACGACGTTCTGTGCTAATTTTTTTTCAATGTCTGTACAGTTGAACATATTGAAATTTTTGGTAACTCATGTTTTTTCAAGTTGTGCAAAGAATTTTGGAATTTATTTTATTTCTTTATTAAGCCCCAAATCCTACTTTTCGACCATGAGCCTTTTTTGTACAGAATTTTGAGAAACTTTTTTACTTTTCTAAAGTACTTTTCTGTAGTAGTACATATAATATGATATAATCTATTCCGTAGATTATTATGTTACATTATTCCGGTGACAAACCTCAACTGTGTAGTACGGATCCGGACAAACGACTGTGTGGCTCGTGTCGCCGGCGTGTACTATGAACCGATTGTTGGTCGGACAGTGCACGTGCTGTGTGTTGTTTGGCACCGCGTGCGATGAATCCGGCATCGCCAACCCGGGCAACTTAGCGTACAGATAGCTGTTGGTGAACTGTTTTTGCGTAAGTATGACGAAGTGGGATTCGCACGTGGTCTGAAATGTTACGATATTATAATATTATTGTTTACGTCGTTTTGCACAAAAGCAACACCGAATCGATCTGTACCCGAGTCGACATTCTAGAGTTCAAAAACGCAAAATATATAGAGACGAAACGGAAGGCTAAATCAGGCCCGTAGCTACGGAGGGGGCAAGATGGAGTGTTGCCTTCCCTAAACCCAATCGTTGACCCTTCTAAAAATATTTAAAATATTATGAATTAATATTGTTTATACATAATATATATATTCCCCCGCTAAAATTTGATTTGTCACGCCTTAAAATTTGGTCTGGCTACGGGCCTGGGCTTAATTATGTACTTCAAAGGTTGCAGAGTGCAGTGTATCATTATCGATAGGTACTTACGTTGTGATGCGAGTGAAACGTGAAATGGCCGCCTGGACCGGTCAGCAGGTTGCTCTTCACCTCACATCGTTTCGGCACCACCTCTCTCCTGACGAATTGCACGGTGGCCTCGAAGTAGTGAAGTCGGAAGTCTTCGGTGGAGTTCATGTTGGATACGTCCCACACCATCGAAGCCTTCGAGCCCAACGTGACAAACGTATACGGCAACAGGGACGCGTTGGTCGAACACAAACAGTGCCTTGGCACCAGCATGGTTTTAGGTCCGTTCACCTCATCAAAAACACTCAGAGACGATCCGATGTCGCCCACGCACTGTAAAGTACCTCGGTCTTTGTTCAAACGGCTATAACAACTCCGGTCTCCCGAACTGATCTTAAGTATTGTCACCTTAGCCACATCGCCGGGCTGTCCTTCCAGTCTGAATACGCAACTTTAAACCGACATGAAAAAAAAGTTTTAAAAAAAATACAACCCACATCGTTGCAATATTGATATTTTCGTATTTTTTTCGATGAGATTTATAACGTTTAATCGTTTTTTTATTATTTGAAATCAATTAGGTAGAATAATTAGTGATTTAAAAATTCACAATTTTTATTACGCGTCAGATATAGATCATTCATAGTATTATATAAAATTTAGACAAAAATAAAAGTGAAAAAAATTAAGCTTTGTTTACTATTCTAGCTTAACCTTGTTTCAATAAAACTTACAAGGTATTTTTGAATATTAATGGAATGCAAAATAAATATTTGTGTCTTAAAGTTAAACTTAAAATACATTAGTCTGAATGCAAACAACATGAATATATGATTACAGTCGTTCAAACAAGAATAAAGAAAACGTTCATTTATTTAATTGACGTATTTAAAATAAAATATATCTTATTAAATTTGTATCGCTCCCGTTTGGACATTTGTTTTACGGGAAATGTCGCAATAGAAACAGTCTAAATATAATACATAATATTACGTCCGATAAATATTCCAAATGTGTGGGTGTACGGAATGGTAACAGTGATAAAAATATCTAAAGTTTAAACTCGCACAATAAAACCTCTTGTCAGATGAATCAATACATTTTCGAGTTTCAAATAATATAAACGGGGGATACTATTCGTATTGTTTAGACTTGGAAGATATATAAGACTAACAATGATTTATATTATACCTAGGTATTGTTCATGCGTGTGTTGGTATTATTCAATACAATTGCGTACCTATATAAGTATATTATGCATCTATACGTATAAACTCTTATGGTATAACCGGTATACCTGCTACGTATATATAATTTATGGTACGTGAATGCAATATTAAACATTAGTTTACCTTAAATTTTTATTGCCTCCTCTTCCGTAAAAGAATACGTTTTTAGGCGAACGGATGGCTATTGTACTAGAAGGTGAGTGCGTGGGCCTTCGGAAAATCCTGGAGCACATACTTCCGGTTTCGGGCCACGAGCTTCCGTCCTGGTGAAGGTCGACGAATTCGTATAGAGCTTTAAACGATACGGGTCTGGGGAAAATAATGATGGCGTCAATACGGTAGTTAGCCCTATTTCTACCTCATCGTATACTGCTGTACAACTACTATACTATCACTACTGCCACCGTCGCAAACGGACCATGCGCAGACCTTTTACTATATACAAAAGTAAAAGGTCTAAGGCATTCATCAATGCATTGATAAAAACTTATGTTCACTATACATATTAAATATGTGTGTGTGTGTGTGTGTGTGTGTGTGTGTATTATATACTTGTTGATTATGTGTTTATTGTATACACACAATAAACATAACATCCTACCTGAGAGCCGTGGCGTGTTGTATGTTCAACTGGACGGTGAGCGACCGGGACGTGGACAGAAAACTCTCTGATAGCGTGCACGGACGCTGTTGCCGGGTCAACAGGAAATGATCGCAAGACCTTGGAGATTGGCCGGGACAGTAGTTGGCCAACAGCGTGCTGTTSTTGTGCTGGTAAACGGACGACGAGACGTTTCTCGAATCACTGAACATGATATTAAAGAATAATATGTTTAGGTATTAATGGTATTATAAGTCACAAACATTCGTTGATAATTAAACATAAAAATTGGGATTAAGTGCACATCTCACATGGTTATATTATTGTGTATATACCACAGACTTATTATTATTACATTTCACCTTTAAAAATGTATAAAATTTAATTTATTCCTCATGCATTTTGTGTATGCCAACCAATGTTTTACCAACAGACAAAATGGAGGTCGTCCCTGGGTGGGCTTCACTGATAACAATGTAAATAATATAAGAGTACCTTATTATCTAGTTAATATAGAAGTCTGTGATATATACACAACTACACCCAGGTCATTGGCGTATACTTAGACCTGAATTTCGGGGAGGGTTAATTTTTAGATTTTTTTCATATTCGATGACCTGACATGAGAACATAACAAAATATATTCTCATACATTTCAATAGACTACATACTAATTTTTATTCGTATTACTATTTTTAATTGACATGTAACCCTAAATTTTAGTTTTCTCATACAAAGAAAATTCATTCTAAAAATTTCTGGGGGGGGGGGGGCGTTATTCCTCCACTAACCCAAGTCGTAAACGGGCGTTTGAATTTGAAAGAATAAATAACAGTTTGACTCACCAGAACGGATGACAAGATGAGCTACCGTCCCACACCATCAGGTTGGTCGTGCAGTCCCGGGTTTGCGGGCCCGTCACGTAAAACTTGAGTACGGATACCCACACCTTGTACCTGGGACCGGAACCAGATTCACGATCCACTGGATATCCGGCAGCCGCGACACCTGTCGGGGTGGCTTGTAGATGGTACCAGCACGTTGTGTTCTCCGGCAAAGAGTGATAAGGTGCGTGTAACCATCCACGGCCCGTGTTCCGTATCCAGAATTCACATCGCTTGTTTTTTGTGTACTTGATCGATTCGATTTCCACAAAGTGTACCTAAATAACCGGAACATTGAGTACGTTGAACACATAGGCGCCCGCAGGGGAGGGAAAGCTGGGGCATTTGCCCCACCCCCTGGCTTTTTCAAAATATTTTTTTTAATTGAATGTTTTAAGATAAATTACTATCTACTATACAACAAATTTAAAGTATAAAATAAGTTGTAATATAATAAAATATAATATATTGTATACGAGTATAATAAAAAAGGTTATTATTTTAAAACACCTAGTAAAATTATAATATTTAGCCTCAAATCCTAACATTGCCCCCCCCCTCTAGAAAAATTTCTGGGGGCGCCTATGATTGAACATTGAAGTACCAAACACGAAATAAAATAGTACTGTTTTTTCTTCTCCAAATCGCAGTAAGTATATTTATACATTTTAAAATTAATACTTGGGTGTATGATAAAATTACAATATTTATCAATCGTTTATCTGATATTGTTATAAAATACAATATTTTAGATAGACCTACCTCATATAACATTTGAAATGTACTATTTTTCTTTAAGATTTAGCCCTCAAGCAAATTATTTGTTTTTTTTTGGTTCTTAAAACTTCTACATCTTATTGGTATATGTACTTCTTCAATTACGATTATTCTATATTTCTATTTACTTGACTACTTCATTAAAGCATGTAATTATTTTATGCCGAATCGATACAAATAATTAAATATTTGTCTATAAATTTATACTTATTCTAGATTTCTAGATAGTGTACTAAATTAGTGATATCAAAATATATTTTCATTTGTAATGTAATTGAAATACGAATTCGTTGCATTGTTCCGTTGATTAACATTTCATTATTTACTAGATACATAATAATATAATTAATACCTAACCAATAATGGTCATACAATATTGAAATGTTCCAAAAGGTCCTATTGTATAATTAATTAACGTTATTGTTTGAAACCGATTGTTGGTCATCTGGTTTTTATATAGAAGTGTTCCCATCATGCATTCATTTTCAAATGGTTTAAATTCTTTTATGGAAGAGTTGAGAACCGTAATGGATGAACACCGCCCTATTCCTTACTCACAATTCACATTTGAACTGTACATATAGATTTGCCCATATTTTGTTAGTATCTAGTTTTATCATAACGATTTCCAGTTAGTTTACGGTTCATGCACCAAAAAACCTATCTTTTATTCGAAAAAAAATATGTTTCAAATTCTACTTTTTATCAACAGTCTTACAAAAAGTAATACTATCGTAATTCGATTAATTTATCATTGTTTTACTTGAGTCTTTACACATAATGTTCGTTATGTATTTTGAGCGGAGGATGGTTAGGTTAGGTTAGGATGCGTATATTGAACAAATTATTTTTCGCTTATTTTGTCTTCTCCTACTTTTTAGGATTGGATTAATGTAAATTGAAAAACTAACACAAATGGAACATTGAGAAAGTTTAGTAAACAGTTGCTAAAATTTCATAAAAATCAAATCATGAAATTCATTATTTACATTTGATCATTTTTTTTAAATGTAMTTCAGTTATTCAATTATATCCCAGAAAATATTATTAGAGCGTCTTTAAAATACATTCATCGATTACTGCACTTAATACTTTATTGTAATATCTTTTAATGTAAAATAATAATAATATAATATTTAACATATATTTTAACTTCAATAGTAGATTTATAGTATCATTTTCATTTTGAATTCTATAACAATACGCAGGATTTGTAAACTTTTCCGGGCCTGTTTGTTTTAAGTAGTATAATAATATTGAGTGTAGTAAATTTAGTTATAGATAAAACTATTTCTGTACTTGTAAATTAACTTAATTAAATGATTATCTTACAGAACCATTATTTAATTATCTGATTAAAGTAGACCTATTTAGATTGGTTTCTAAAACCAACGTAGTTTATTTAAGTTGTATAAATTATACGTAGCATTGGAGTACCTGTAACTAAATCTTCGCCACAAACAAAGGCCGCACATCCCTTTGTTATTAAAAACTCAAACATTAACATTGAATGGAGACAATTAAGTTTAAATTATTTTTTTTTCATCTCGATATTTATCGTGTCGCACAAGAGATCTGCAAGGAAAGTATAATATATTGTTTCAATAAAATTTTCTAATAGTTTTTTTTTTTATTATTATTCATCCTCGTGATAAATTTTACAATCTCGTTTTAAACTTTAAATTCACCTTTTTTATATATATATATACGTAATGCACGTGCATATCGGAAGACGACAGTCGTGTTTACATAATACACTGAGTCCTGTCTTGGATTACTTGGATCTACATCATTTACTATTCAAGCGTGAACTACGCTCGAAAGGTTTGTTTGTTTGTATTCCTTTTTATCTTTGAAAAGTATTTTCATAATATTATGCCTATATATATATACTACAGTTCAACTGGAAGGATCCTATTATTTGAACATTCGAAATAAAACATTTCGCGTAGTAAATGATGTTATCGCTTGGTCAAACATCTATTGAAATATCTTTAATTTGAATACACACTACAGTATGTAAACATTACACGTACGCCAACAGCGGATATTATGTTTACCACTGCAGAGTGGATATTGATTTTTATAGTAAAAGTTAGCTACTCCGTTTATACAAAATATATTATTCTAATGGAAAAGTTATCATGTGTAGGTAAGTTCTTCAGGTTTTTATTTTTAAAAATAAATTATATGGCTTAAAATACATAGTGGCTTTAAAATGATCACGATTTATAGAGGATAAAATTCGATCTGATTCCAAATTGAATTACTTTCTTTGTTTTCATCAAATAAATACTATTTAAATTATGATTACTTCAATTTCAATTAAGTACTCAAAAATTGCATTCAGTCGCCGTGGACATAACGTATAACCAAACCAAAAATATTTGGTATTTCCTACAATACTTACCTACCTATTCATTTATATCGTATTTTGACTTGAAAATAATATGTGACAAATAGCATTTAAAAAATATTAAAATACTGAGGATACGAATGCGACATTGACGACGGTGTACAGAGTATAGAGTATCTGAATAGTATATCCATAACGCCGTGTTATACATAATCCAATATGTATATTATTATTGAAATAACTTGATKTATAAATAATAATAATTATTATTTTATGAGTTCATTATAACTCTCTTAAGGAGCATAGTATGCGCAAACTGAGTAATTAGACGAAATAGAATTAATTGCTACCTGGAATAATGTAATATATCATTAAATTTCTATACAGTTGCGACTTAGTCCATAATACGCAATATTACTTATTTATTATTATATTTTTTTTATTTAAATAAATAAGCCTCGGCGTCTATGGCCATTGGCATACAAGAAGTTTAAGATTAACTATTTTTAAGGGTGCAGTACTTACATATTATTTAAAAAGAACAAATTATAAATTATTTATAAGACTAGTTTTGATTAAAAAGGTCATCATGGGATCAACATTACTTATAATATTATTATTTAAATGTAAAATATTATTATGGCTTATGAAATAACTGAAAAATGGTCCCTATGGTGGTACGAAAAAAGAAAAAAGCCTGGTCGAGAGTGTGCATTACAATTAAATATAAAACCTAATGTTAATTTAGATATTATGACATTTTAGAAGAATTATGTTTCAAAAATAAATACTTTCCAACGGTTCGTTCAGTAACGGATTTATTATTATTATTATTAAATATTATGTGTATTTGTAAAATAGCCTATATTAATATATTGTAGGCTGATAAAAATACATTTTTAAACTAATTCACAGTAGATAAGAACCATCCTTCCCACCCGATAACACGTCTTGGTCAATGCGAATTATTATAAAATCGTTTTGACACAATTATACAGTCGTGATACCTATGATTATAGTCAATGGTGCTGCCTAAAGTCTAACCTAACCTATCGATGATAAATTTAAAATAAAGGATTGAAATATATCACATGGAGTAAATTATTCCAATTACCCCGATTTCTTTATTGTAAATCACACCAAGCCATGCCGCGTGCCGCAAGCATTTATTTCGACTTCGTGAGGCCACTCAGGTTACGGCGCGACGTTTGAAATCGATCGGAAACAGAACATGCACGGCGAACAGAAATTTAATATTAAGATGGAAGACAAATGATGAAAATTCGTAATATTAATATACCCTATCAGATAACTTAAGTAGGTACCTATAAGTAATACCTAAAAAAAAAAATGGTTTTCCATACGTTAGAATATTATAATAATCGCATAATATTAAAACCTATATATTATATTTTAATCATACTTGAATGTATTATTATCAATTTTATTACGCATCGATTGACGATATTTACAGTGGTGTACCGATAAAAACTAATTATGAGTTCAATTTACTTTAAAGTTTAAACTTTAAGACTTAAAGTGATTTTATAATTACATTATTGTTCAGGAATTTTAATACGCAGCATAATACGTGTGATTTCTTGAGTTGTTGAAAGTGTATTCCTAGTTAAACTTATAAATATAATATTCAATGATACACAAGACACAACCGCAGCTTAAATTTATTAACAAAATAATATTATTCACTTTTTTCGTTATTATTATTGTAATCATTCTTTTTCAATGCGTATTTTAATCGAAACATTGATCAAATTTATTTGAAATTTCTATTCAATAATTTTTATTTTGAAAACAAAATATTTTAAAAAATTATATTTTTTAATATATTCCTTATAATTTTATTTATTAATAATAACTTCAAGTAATTCAAACTTAACTAATAGTTAAAACGTTTTTCGTAAGGCATTCTATCTGTTTACATCGTGCAAAACTTATAAATTAGCTTGATGAGTAATAACTTACGAAACCTTAAACATATTTTTAATTTATATCAATGTATGGAGCAAATATAAAATTTATTTATATAATATTTTGTATTCTATTGTTTAAAAAAAGTTTAGACAAAACTCGTAAGTATTCTATCACATATAAACAAAACAATTATATCAACTTCACTGCATTTAAAACGGCATATAGTATTATATATAGGTACTATATCGCCTGTATCATAATCATACCTATTATGACGAACTTCATTATTGTGAATTTAAATACAATAATATTGACACGAATGGGCTGAAATCGGCGTGAATGTATAAAATAAATAACTTTTAATCTTTTAAACGAGAATTCGAATTCAAAGAGACCTTTTACTTTAATTTTGAGATTAGTTTAAAATTAACAAACGACTTTAATAATTAATATCATAGGCGTGTGAATAATATTTATAAACTAATTATATTAATATTATATATTATATTATACATATATAACGTGTGTCTTTGGAAACAGGGTGTACTTTATCACTCGTTAGCCTGTGAATAATTTTCGATTCTGCATGCGGGACATTCAACTATATACATTTCTATAATTTTTTAACTCTTGCATTTTGCATATTATGCACAACGCAACTTCATTTATTTAATGGAAACCCCTATTTTTGGATTGACCGAGGTTTTTCACGTATAACATTGATCTTTCAAATTGTATTAAAAGCCAAAAATTGGCAAAATTAGAGATAAGTATAAATATATTTTTTTCAATTTTACCTACGTATTTTTTAATTTTTTTTAAAATTTGATTTTATAGTGGTATTTAGATGAAAAAAATGAAAAAATGACGCAGGTACAACTAAACAAAAAAAATCAAATTTAGCATCTACCTACACATTTTTTTTTTTTTTTAACTTATCTTTAGTTTTGGTTTAGAATAAAAATTGATGGATCAAAATCGCTTGAAAAAAAAACAGATCAATCGGAAAATTTATTATATTAAAAATATTAGTTTTCATTAAAAAAGACAAATAATTAAGTTGTGTTGCGCATGTGCAAAACACATAAGCTTAAAAAAATTATTGCATAGAAATGTATTTGATCCATTAGCCTAGTTGAATGTTCCGCAAACCGAATTGAAAATTATTTATAGAGTAGTGAGAAAATCATGTTTCTGCGCTCAAATAATATAGGTGAGTGAGTATAATCATAATGCAAATGACTTAATGACGTAGCGTGTTTTGAAAATAAAAATAATTTATATCAATCTACTGCTATGTATAATTTACGTGATATTATTATTTATATTATTATGGTACTCAGAAGGGACTTTATTATAATGTTCGTCAGAAATTAGCATCGATATAAAGTCATTGAAATGTCTATCGTTTGAAATGCGTGAGTACTTACTTGAACTTGAAGTTGAAAACCGTGAAGTGGACCAAATGGATACATCAGAGTGCCATATGGTGACGTAGAAAATTGAACCAACAGTTCAGGCCCACTAGATGTTGTCACAGGCACAGTTTCACCTGATCCACAGAATCTCAACAAAATCGGATCTCTAGTTGTGTATCCATCATAAACCGTCACAAAATCCGGTACATTATCACACTTGCTCCAGTCCTAAATAGAATTTCATTATTATATTTTTTAACCAGGAAAACATATGTTAAATCAAAAAACCTATTTATTTGCGTATAATAATACGTTAAGCCGTTAAGCGTTTTATGATTATGATATAGGTAAGTATTTAAATTGAATTTAATAAACCTAAAGCATTAGGTCATCAACAATTTTTATTGTTCATCAATCATAAAATAAAAAGTGCTGAAATATAATGCAGTAGTATATGTTCACTATAATTAACTTCCGCCATCTTCCGGTTCTATTATTTTATTTCAATATTCATTCTTTTTTGAGGATTTTGTTTAAAGTATACTATTTATCATGTGAAGCACTCAAAGTTGAATTTTTCAACAGTTTAGCATAAAATTATTTAAACGGTGTAATTTATTATTAAAAGGGTTCCATCGAGAAACAGCCTTGTATAAGTTCATTAATTGCTATAACAATATTTTGCTGGAAACGGTTTTGTACCTTGAGTTAATTAACTCAAAATGGATTTAGCGCGAAAATATCAAGGTCAGAAATGGTGTAGTGTGGTTGCTAAAATTGATCAATTTTGTTTGAATTTAAATATAAAATCTAATTTTATTTTTTATTTTTAAAACATTGTCTTCTAAATGAAAAACCCACTTGTACGTGATAACATTATGTTCCACGAAAATTTGAAAAAATATAATATATTTTCCTTATTATCGAATTATGTATATTGAAATATTATAACGAATACTATAAATCTATTCATACGTATTATAATGATCATGAATAATATTATTACTAAGGGAGATATTAATATTACATCGTTTGTGGACGTTATGGAATCGACACAAAGTCGTTGTAATATTATATTGCACAATTATTTCGTGTATTATGTTTTGATAAGCGTAAGTATTTTTATCAATGAAATTTAGAAATTGACGAATTTTCAGAGTCAATTTTTTATTAGTTATTAATTATTATGTACCTATGTCAAGCTCAAAATACGACAATATACCTATAATAATGATATACTCAAAACCCGATAAATCCGTAATGGCACACCAATATCTGGTTTTAATGCCTCGTCTGGGGTGGGGGTGGGGGGGAGAAAGAGATTTGAAAAAACACGACACGAGCGGCCGCGCAGTCCATCATATATAGTATATATTATATACCTTCCGTTCGACGGGCTTCGGGTCAGCTCCTTCGGGATTCATCCGGTCCGTCTTGATCGAAACCAGACGACTGTACGGCTGTGTGATGGATATCAACGCCTGGTGGCCATACGGTATCGAGTGTTGTCGGATGGCGTAGTAGCAAGTCAAGTTTCTTGGATAGAGCCCAGGGTAGTTGGGTGACTGCAGCACGCACCTCTTCTTGTCGCAGTTGCTGAATATCCGCGAGCAGTACGTGCCTTCCATGAGGTCACCCATGTGAAACGATTCGTTTACTCCTGTAACACACGAGCAGGAAAAAGTCTGAGCATAAAGTGCAGCGGTAAAAACGTGATATAAAACATGTCGATAACACTGCAGAGCGTAATTTGATATACATTTATTCAAGCCTAACCGCCGGGACATCTATGAAGGTGCAAATTCGTATAATAATTTCTAAAAAGGTCATATACAGACAGCCTACCTAATATTCATATTATTTCAGCCGATGGTTTGTGTTTGGCTTATATAATATGTACTATATACAAGCGTATGGAAACAGTGACCGGTCGACACCAATCACGGATGAGTTTTACACCATGCGCGCAGTCTTACGTATATATGATATGTTAGTGATGTAGTTATCTATCAATACTTAACACCAGTCTGAATCGATTCATTGTCGAGTGCTGTTAAAAGATATAAATGATAGGTAATGTGTCTTATAATAATTATTTAATGTTTTTCATCATCGCTGTACAAAGTTATTGGTGCATTACGAGTTGCTCTTATGTTGTACAATATTATTTAACTATATTATGGTTCACTGTGGTATATAACGCATTAAAATGTATATTAACGTGTCTCCGAACTAGGCCAAGACGATGATTACGGTCATTTGTGTGAACTCCCGTTTATACATAAAATCTTTGTTGTATTGTTTTATGGCCGTTTCGGGGTCGTTTGTCATCCGGCCGCGTCATGCAATGCGGACAGATAGTGAGTACAGCAGATTTATGTGCCAAACACAATACGACAGACAATCCTAGTTGTCTTAATTTAATATAAATGTGCTTACTAAGGATAAAGGGAGTGATTACTAATTTCTGAAATATTGTTTATAATGAGCGGCGGTGTACATACAGTGCACAGCAGTAGTGTATATATTTTAAAAATAATAAACAAACATTCACATATAATTGGGGTGGTGATAGCCATATTATAGCCTAATTAAAAATGTATTATATACATATTACTCAATATGTAAAAAATTTTGTTTTAGACGTTTACTTTCTATCAATTGTATTTATTGGTGTTGGAAAAACATTAATACATATTATGATACATAACTTATTACATCATTTACATCTATATTTATATTTAAACTGACGCGACAGTCACTATTTAATTTCACTAACTATAATTTCAAATTTTTATTTTATGTCTTAAAACTTAACTTTAAGTATCATTGAGAATTGTATTTTCTGACTTAAAAACGTATAAATATACAGGTTTTCCCACTCTAACTCTAATTTTGTTTTGTATTGCTGTGCATAAATAGATACATAGAACATAGTATAAAAATAAATTTAAAAATGTAAAAACTTATATTGGACATTGTACTATATCAATACAAAATGTATACCCAGAATTTGGCTACAATTTGGAAAAAGGTACCTTGTTTACATTGAAGGAGGTGCTTAGAACAACTTTGAGAAAAAAAATCCGAAAATATTTAAGTGTCATGCCGGAAAACGGAACATAAAACTTCTGTTCTTTTATATATTTAGGTGCTGTGTTTAAAGAACATATATTTTTATAAAATACTGAGCCTTAGTCTATTTAAAAAGTCTATAAAAAAAAGTAAATATTCAACACATACAATGAAGACACCTGCAATAACCTAAAGTTTAGGCKTTATTTATTTTCTTTAAATAAATAAAAAAATTCTAAGTTTCGAGCAATGTATACTGTCATTGATTTTAATTTTAACTACTTTGATTTCGCTATTACGATTTGCACATTTTAACTAAAGTAATAATAACCATTTTCATTGATAGTTATGACTGATATTTATAATACCTGATATTGTTTATTATGTAAAACACCCCTACAATTAGAATAAAAACTAAATACGAATCATCTATACAAATTTCATCTGATATTAATATTATAATTAGGCTCAAATGAATGTCAAATAAAAATCAACATATATTTAAACAAATGCTTGTGCGAAAAACACCTCAAGGACCGTACTAGGCGTACTATATCAAACGTTAAGCTATTATCGCACAGGCTACCGACGAAAAAGTAAACACCGTAAACCATTTGGTATACCGGGGGAGATCGGGAATGGTGAGATTTAGTGGTACCTATATATATATATATATAGTATTTGCCATGAATAAAATCCCATAGCTTTATATTGCAAACTTTATATATTCATATTTCTGTTCGGTCTAAAGTAGATAAGCACATGTGTACGGAAAAAAAATCCTCGCCGCCTTTAATTTAAATACAACTTATCCTAGGTTAGGTACTTACCGAAAAAAGTTGATCAATTTAATCGACTTATCCACCGCGTAACATATGTGATGCAACCAATAATGGCCGTCGTATTATGATGTACATATATATATATGTAGATACATAAAAAGCTCGTAACGAATTTAAATACAAAAAGTGAACAAACCGCAATCCGACCATGCACCATTATAATTTTAATTACAATTGTGATTCGTTTTCATAAAATGAAAAAAAAAATTCTTCGCAAGTATTAGCTACTCGATGAATTGCATTTAAATTTATAAATATTAAACACAGTTTATAAAATTATATGCAAAAAAAAAACATTCAGATTGTGCAATGAATACAATATATATTATGCACATTTATGCATAATACGTACATATTTTTGTTAAATAACCAAAATATAATATGATATTGTTAAATTAATAAAACAATTAATATACGAGGCATATAATATAAATACCTCCTTAACGGCTCACTATGCATATAGTAGAAACCGTTTATAATGACACCGGTTGTAGTAACATTAGGGTGTAATGACCATAGATTAAATGTCCCGGCAAAACTCCTATATTGTATGAACTAATATTTGTATCGGTTATTATGACGTCTATATTATAATGACTATACGGATGTTATGAAAGTTATTTTTGGTTATATTTGAAAAATATTTTATCTATAATGACTTTACTTTATCGAAGGTACTATTATAATATCGATAGCACCGATAATTTCATCGTTGTTTAGTTGTCAGTTTTATTTTATTTTATTGTCAGTATACGGGTAATCGTTGTGCAATTTTAAATGTGTTTTGTGTTTGGTGTTAAATTGTATTTTGAAATTGTAAAATGAGCAAATGAAAGCAATTCACCATTGAAGAAAAGCCAGATATTATTTTTCGTTTAAAAAAAGGTGAAAAAAAATTCCAACATTGCTAATTAATTAGGCGTAGGTCACTCTACAATTTCCAACATATGGATAGCTCGAGACAAAATCGAACAAGAGTTTCAAAATGAAAAATTATCAGTTAAGAAACTTAGAAATTGTACACATACAGATTTAGATGATGTTTTATTACGATTGTTTTAAAAATCAAAGAAATCTATGCATTCCAATTAATGGACTAATTCTTTAACAGAAAGCCAACGAATTAGCTGAAGGCCTTGGTAAACATAATTTTAATTGTTCCAGTGGTTGGATTCAAAGATTTAGAGCGAGGCATAATATTGTATTTTCAACAATAAGCAGAGAATCAAATTCGGTTAATACTGAAATAACACAAAATTGGCTCGAAAAAGTATGGCCTAAATTACAAGAATAATACACAGATGACCAAATTTATAATGCAGATGAGACTGGACCTTTTACAGAATGCTTCAGTGGCGTGTCTAGGGGGCGGGCCCGGCGGGCATGTGCCGACCCACATTTTTATATGAGTACTAGACTAGTGTAAGTTCGATACTCAATGAAATTTTAGTATGAGGAGGGGGTAAAACCATTCTGAACTTAATTTTTGTGGCCCATCCACAAAAAAAGTTCTGGACACGCCATTGGAATGCTTCCTAACAGAACATTACAATTTAAAGGAGAAATATGTTCAGGTGGTAAAATGTCCAAAGAACTTCTGACTGTCTTAGTTTCAGCAAGTATTACTGGTAAAAAAATGAAACTGATCATAATTGGAAAATCCCGTAATCCACGATGTTTCAAAAACATCAAAAGTGACTGTCTACCGGTAACATATGAATCTAACTCCAAAGCTTGGATGACTGCAGAATTAAGGTCTAAAATTTTATTAAATTGTGATTTAGAGTTAGGAAGAAAAAAAGAAAAAATTTTACTCTTAGTTGACAACCGTCCAGCACATTGCACTGTAGAATTACGCAATATTAAACTTGTATTTTTACCCAGTAATTACGTCTGTTCTTCAACCAATGGATCAAGGCGTAATAAAATGTATGAAAACTTATTTTCGAAAAATGTTGGTGCTAAATATGATCAATAATATTGAAAACAAAATTGAAGCATTGAAGCGAATATCAGCGTATTAGATGGTATATTAATGATTTTTAAAGCTTGGGAAAAAGTATCAGAGATTACAATTTCGAAATTGTTTTCGTCACGCTGGTTCCAATAATGCAATACCACAACAAACCGTCTAAGGAGAACAAGAAGAAGACACAAGTTTCCCAAACATAAATGAATATGTTAACATTGATAATTATGTACTAACTTCGGAACCATTAAGTGATCAAGAACTTATTTCTTCATTGATTAACCAACCCGAAAAACCTGAGAAAGACGATAATATAGTGAAGATTCTGATAGTCCTTGTGGAAATTTATCTATTAAACCCGTGTTSAACGCAGCAAAAATGTTAGCAAATTGTATGGCTTTGAATAACGTAAGTCCGAAGGTAAATTTTGAAGAACTAGAAAAAAAATAGAGCGTGATTTTTATACTAACAAAGTTCAATCTAAAATAACAGATTTCTTTAAATAATAATTTAAGTATGTATATGTACGTAATTAAACGTTTTTATCTTTAGTTTTTTCTATATTATACATTGCATAATAATAATAATAATAATATGTATTGAAGTTACAATTTTTTTTGTCATTTTGGTTATAAGTAATAACAACCGGTTATTATGACCTATTTTCTTTGATCCCTTGAACGTCATTATAAACGGTTTCTACTGTATTACATACATTTATCCGTGGTAAAATAATTAAGTACCACCATAAAACTGTAGACGAACAAATTATTG